CTGGTTAATTGCTCTCACTGTTAGGAAGTTTCTCCTTAATTCCAGGTTGCTTCTCTCCTTGATTAGTTTCCATCCATTGTTTCTTGTTTTGCCTTCTGGTGCTTTGGAAAATAAGTTGACCCCCTCTTCTTTGTGGCAGCCCCTCAAATTCAATTCAATTCAAATCAAATCTTTATTGTCAGTGTACAACATATGTACAATGAGATTGGTTGAGCTCCCTCAGTGCACCCCCCCCCAACACAATACAACTCACAGTGAAGACAGAAAATCCCTAACCCAATAAATCATATTAACAAAACACCTAGACCTTTTACACCAGTGTGAACATGTTACACATTGCGCCGACCCTGCAATCCATCATACTACATAGTTATGATGTTATTCCGCATTCAGGAGTCTGACAGCTCACGGGTAAAAACTGTTCTTCAGCCTGTTCGTGCAGCTGGCTATACTTCTATATTTTATTTTATTTTATTTTATTATTTTTAATTTGATTTATATGCCGCCCTTCTCCGGAGACTCAGGGCGGCTTACAATGCGTTAAGCAATAGCCTTCATACTTTTGTATATTTATACAAAGTCAGCTTATTGCCCCCACAAACTGGGTCCTCAATTTACCTACGTTAGAAAGGATGGAAGGCTGAGTCAACCTTGAGCCTGGTGAGATTCGAACTTACAGTAATTGCAGACAGCTGGATGTTAATTACAATGCATTAGTCTGCTGAGCTATCCAGGCTCCTTCCCAATGGTAGGAGGATAAAGAAGTGGTGACCAGGGTGAGAGTCATCCCTGAGAATTTTCCTCACTCTTCTAAGGCAGCGAGCCCTAGCGATCTCATCTAGTGGTATCAGGGGATAGCCCACAATGTTTTGTGCTGTACTCACCACTCTCTGTAATGTTTTTCTATCCGCGGCTGTAAGACCAGCATGCCATACCGTGATGCAATAAGTGAGGACGCTTTCTATTGTGGACCGGTAAATACTGAAATACTGCTATCATGTCACCCCTAGTCCTTCTTTTCTCAATCTATCCATTCCCAATTCCTGCAACCGTTCTTCATATGTTTTAGTCTCCAGGCCTTTAATCATCTTAGTTGCTCTTCTCTGCACTTTTTCCAAAGTGTCAACAACTTATAGCAGCTGTCTCTTTTTGAAATCATTCTGGCAGATCCTTGAATACTGAATTACTATAGTTTCTCGTGTATCTAAAAGGCTACACTTCTTGATGCAGATGTGGAGACAGAGATATATAATATACAGGTGGGAAGGTTCCAGGTGAATAAAAGGAAGGATGTCAGCTCATACATCAGTCCCATCAAATGTGGTAATGGTTATCAATGTAGATGATTTTTTAAAAGGACTAGAGGAGGAGGAGAGTAGTAATGACGACTCTTAAATCTCTTGAATCAGAGGTTATATAGTTTAAACAATAATTCATAAGGATTACTTGTGGAAGAGAGCTCTCACTCTTTTTCCTGTGTGTGAGCTTCCTGTATGCGTACTTTTGGATAGAGTGCTGGATTAGGCCATTTGGCTTTGAAATATAGCATTAGCCTACTGTGGGACTATAGAATCATTCATTTGGTCATTATTGGAAACAGAATAAGAGATTATTTTAATGTTTCCAAGTGACAGTACAGGGAATAATAATCATGTAAATGTAGATTATGGTAGGCCTTGTCCATCCTTTGAGACATTCCATACTCTGCTTCCCACCCCTTGGGGTTCTCACAGAGCTTTGGTTTGCTTCCCCCTCCCCCCACAGGTTCCCCTTAGGTCCTCTCCCCCTCACCAGGTACTGCAGTTCTTGGACCTTCTTCCCACCCTGCCAGGGTCACATCTCTCTAAGTGACTAGTTCTAAATTGAGGACAACCTGTACTATGGTTCAAATTTCTTAGGAATGACATCAAACATCCATCATCCCTGATCATTTTAATCTTACTCAAATTTATGAGTGTCATCTTACTGTTATAGTAGCAAAATTCTTCAATCCATAATTTACAAGTTGAATTTATATAATTTGCTGGCACAAGATGGATGATGTCCACTAGCTTAGGTAGCTTTAAAAGGTGAAAACATAACTTTAAGGGGGAGGAAATCAATGGCTATTAGTCATTAGGGCTGCGTGATCTCTAGATTTTGAAATGTAATGCTTCTGGTTATCGATTTCTGGAGAAAAACAATGGCAAAGGCAAGACTTACGTCTTGTGAGCTTTCCATGGATCTCATTAGCTTCTGTGATGAAAAGGACATGAATTAAAAGGTCTCCAGTCCAATCAGGGCAGACCATCCTTACACCAGAACTGCAGTCCATGAACTGATGTAATTGTTTGAAATATATATTTTAAATAAGCCAAAATATTCTCTAGTCTAATTAACATTGTCAGAGATTGCTCCCCCACCCAACAGCAGTACCTCATGTATGCACGTCTTAGTGCGTCAAAGCAGCAGCCATAAATCTAGCAAGGAAGATGAAAATCCTTTGGTTTTGCCTGCATCCATACTAAGCTTCCCAGCTTATTTGATCTGTCATTTGGCATTCTGGAAAAAAAATCTTCCAAACTGAAAAGACAACTGATAATATATTTAAGGAAAAATTGTATCCATTTATGTATCTCAATTTTAGTCGCCATAGTTTTCTTTATTTCATGGAATTTGCTCTTTATTCTCTTGCATTGACAGTATTAGATCAATGTCATTGTTCTACAATTGATATGAAAACAAAGAAAGTTGTTTACTTTTTCTCAGTGGATCACATCACATAGTTCATTTATCTCCAATTGAATTGTAACAGGTCTGTGTTTCATTCTTTTTCACTTCCTTACTTGAAACCACTTCTCAGAAAGTCTTATCGAACTTTGACAACTGGTCGCTGAATGGGTGATCGTAACTCAAGGTCTACCTGTACTATAAATCAATTTCATTGGATGATCTTTATGTCATTTCAATAAATTACCATTGGTAATGTCATCAATTTTTGTCTTGATAGGAGTACATGTGACAATCTTTTAAGTCAATTTAAATAACCGCATTGTGATAATGAGTTTGTATGCCTTTACCCAAAGAAAAACCACTGTTACCCAGTTCTGGGTAACTTATGTAGGTTTGGGAAGCACTGGAGTAGACTGTTTGAAAGGACTTTGAACAGCCTTCCTCAAACTTCCATTCATCACCCATTACTTGTATTGGACTGATGTCATTGGCCCAAAAAATGAGAAGTCTATCATGTCAGGGACAGCTACACCCAATCATACAACTGATAAAACAATGGCATCTGCTTGTTTTGGAGAACTTGAACTCCAACATTAGCACTTGACAGTTGCATTCTTGAATGTGCTTACTATCAAATTTATAGAATTTTGGCTTTTTTTTCTGGGTAAACTTAACTACAATGCCAATCAGTGGTGAAATTCAATTTTTTTTACTACTGGTTCTGTGGGTATGGCTTGGTGGGCGTGGCATGGTGGGTGTGGCAGGGAAATAATACTGCAAAAACTGCATTCCCACCCCACTCCAGGGGAAGGATATTGCAAAATCTCCATTCCCACCCCACTCTGGGGCCAGCCAGAGGTGGCATTTGCCGGTTCTCCAAGCTACCCAAAATTTCTGCTACTGGTTCTCCGAACTACTCAAAATTTCCACTACCGGTTCTCCAGAACCTGTCAGAACTTGCTGGATTTCACCCCTGATGCCAATGCAAAACTCATTGCTCTGAAAAATGAGCAAAGGTTTAATTGTTTCACAATGAAGCCTTCTGTCCTTACATGGGATGTTCCATTAATTCCTCCAAAGCTGTTCCTTTTATCACAATGAAGCCTTCTGTTCTTACATGGGATGTTCCATTAATTCCTCCAAAGCTGTTCCTTTTATCACAATCTTTCTGAAGGACTTACTCGTAGAATTCCCTGACATTTATATAGTACAGATCCCTCATCTTACTGTCGCAAGGGACATCTTTACTCCTTTTTTTAATGTATACACCAATTTGCCTAATAACAGCCTCTGTCTGCTGAGTGGAATTTTGGACTCAGACTCAAAAGGTTTAAATATAATAAATTTGATACAGTTCCTGACCACCACTCTAACGTATCCCAAAACTATTGTGAAATAAATAATAACTGGGAGGAGGAATAAGGGTTGCGGATTTTTTAAAAAAAATCTCTTTTTAATCTTTCTATAGTTGTGTCGCTACAGAGCATCATTATTGATTCCATCCTTTTCTTCCTTTTCTACAAAAATTTCATTTGTAGATTGTGACCGTGGAGCCCAGCAGGGCTTGGGGTAGGCTCTTTTTCCTTGTTTTCATCCTACTTTCCCACTGCCTACACCCAGAGCTTTCTAGTTGAGTTTATAGACAGCATTACAATCAAATTTGATCTTAATTCTTCTAATTGTTTTCTAGTTAGTTTCACATCCCTGTAAAAAAAAAAAATGAGTTTGCCTTCTAAGTAATACGTGCACTGAATTTTGTTTCCCCTCATCTCACCTCCCAGCCTTGAGCAGGCTATTACATTTCTCCAACCACCACCACACGTCCCCTCATCAATGCAATCTGCAGTGATGATTTCAGTTCTTGGGATAGTGCCAGGCCACAAAACTACAATGTTATGCTCTCACTTCAGTTTTCAGGAAGAATGATGGCCAGGCAGCTTTCTTCTCATACTTACATTTTTAGCAGAACCTCCAAACAAATGCAGATAATGACGAGGATAAGGGAAGCAGAGGGCAAACATCTTCTTTTGTCCTTCTAGAGAGGAAAGGTAGATGAGGGGGAGCCAGAAACTCATGTAGTTCAGGGGCAGGGCATTGACTGAAAGATTATTTTATTACTTCTCCTCTTGGTTGGCTGATGAGAATGCTTTTGACTCCAGGGTATTCTCTGCCTATTTTTAGTGTTCCAGTATTTCATGGTTAGCTTCAAAATGATTTGGTGGGATTAAGGAGTGGAAATAGTTCCCATAGATGTACACCTAGTTCCACACCTAACTAGAGCCATACCATGCTTTCTGAGCCAGACATTTAAAGCATCCATCCAACTTCATTGGCTGTCAATGCTGGTTAAGTTATAGTACATGACAATGCAGCCATAACCCTTAATTCGGAATAAGTAACTTTCCCAGGGAGCTTGATTATGAAGATTTTTTTTGCATTTCCCGGCTTTCTTTGTTGATTATTCCAATGATTGGGGGTAGAGTTGATGGAGGTGAGAGTAATTCAAGATTAGAGTCCTCTGTGGAAGGAAGAGATTATTTATTTAATTAGCTCTTTTATATTCAAGGCTATTCTCGCAGTCCAAAATGACCCATCCTAAGAGGCTTCTGCATATGCTTTGGTAAATGGAATGAGGAGATTCTGATTCAGTTTCCCATTCTGCTACTGAACTTACTGATGCTGAGTTAGTCACTCTCAGACAAAGTCATTACACAGAGTTGCAGGTAAAGTCTGGGGAGATTATCGTGTACATTGCTTAAACTTTCTAGTGTAGCAAATGTATTTATCCATCCTAATGATCCTAGTAATTTTTAAATCAATGAATATGGAATCCATTCATATTCTTATGATTTACTTAGCAATAAAAACAGACCCTGAATTGAATGCCATTTACTTGAGAGTAAGTAAACTGAATGAATATTATATCTGGAGAGAGGGGGAGAGAGAGAGAGGGAGGGAGGGAGAGAGAGAGAAAAAAAACAATGTGTTCTGTTCCCACGGTACATTAATTAGGTAAACCCATTTGTCTGGACTGTGTAAAATATGGCAAAACCCCTCTTCCTTGATATTTTTGTCAACAGCTGTACTTTTTTCTAGATGACCTTTGACAAAACTTGTAAATTCTAAGCTGATTCTAGTTCAAGATAAAAGGAATTCTCCCATCATTTCCCCAGTTGCCTTTTGGAAATTCAATAAAAGTCATATGGTCAGTTAAATAGAAAGGAGAAAGGAGTACAGCAATAAGAGAGAGATGTCATGCAACTGCAACCTGTTATTTCATTTATCATAATTATATTTGTATCATCCTATACAAGAACAGAGAAAACTATTGATAGGATTTGAGCCAGCCCTGGATATTTTACATTTTAACTGAAAGGAGGCAGGGCGTTGTTAGATTTGTCTTAGTCAAAAACATTTCTTGAGTTATTACTGATTAGAAATTACCCATAAAATATTAACTATTGACTGTCTTGTTAAATACAGTTAATGTTTATTTAAAGTAGACCATTAAAAGCCAGCTCCAATAGGAGAAGGAGAAAAAGGATTAAATAACTACTGGTATGTGCCAGATTGGCATCAAGGTGCTCAAGATAGCATATATGGTTATTACATTCAGTTTTGGATGTAAATTATCTTATGTTTATTAACAGCAAAATTTCTTTTTTCTTAATATTCTCATATATGTAACATTAGAGTATTTATAATCAATAGTTAACCCTGTACAAATACCATTGTATCGAAATAATATAATGAATTACGTATGTCTTATAATAATGTAACATATTATTAGTTAAGTTACATTATGGTTTGGCACACAGTCAGCTAGGTTTTTAGACTGGATTTAGCATTTATATCCATCTATTGAGTCCTTCCTAAGGACCTGGGATAGACAGATGTGGATGTCTGATGGTGTTATAAGTATCGTGGAGGGATGTAAGCTCCAAGTAAAGCTGCCTTTTGCAATTGACTGATGGTGATTTTTGTCAATGCCAATGGTGTTCAATGCTATTCCAGTTGTTTTGGGATTGCACCCAAGATGCCTATTACCATTGGTATAACACTGTTATAATTAATTATAATAAAACCAACTTTTTTTTATAAGTTAGCACATATGGTTGTTGTCCTCACACCAACCAAAGTGGTGTAGTAATTAAGATCTTGGACTGGTCCTGGTGAGCTCCAGAGTCAAGACATCTGTTGGGTGACTCAGGCCCCTCATATTATCTCAGCCCAATTTACTTCATAAGATTGTTGCTATGAGGAAGAAGGTCCAGAGGTAGTGCTATCTGCCCTTTGAGCTTCTGAAGGAAAGTCTGTGCTAATATAGACTCTCCTGACACTTTGAGCTGACAATTAGATTTGGAATTTAGACAGCCTACTGCAGACGCACTCACAAAAGGGCTGTGATGGTGGGTGTGGCTAATCACAAAACACACTGAGCAGGAAGCACAGTGGTGAGGTTGTTTCCATCATCCCCATTAGCCTTCCAGAATGTTCTCAGCTTGTTCAGTTTACCTTTCTTTTTTTTCTGGATATGGTTCAGGCTTATTATTAAAAACTAACCCTTGGGAATGCCTCTGGCATCTGTTTAAGATTCAGACAGATATTTAGAAAGAGATAATTGGAAAAACAGCCAGTTTGGTGTAGGGGTGGAAATGCTGGCCTACAAACCAGGAGACTGGGAGTTCTAGTCCCGCCTTAGGCATTAAAGACAGCTGGGTGACTTTAGGCCAGTCATTCTTTCTCAGCCCAGCCCAACTCACAAGATTGTTATTGTTATTGTGGGGAAAATAAGAGGCAGAAGGAGCATTTGTGTGTTCACTGTCTTGACTTATTTATACAAACAATTAATTAATTAATTAATTAATTAATTAATTAATTAATTAATATTATTATTTTTTGCCAATACGGCTGGAACTGCATTTGTGTAATACTTAAGAAAGTAGCAATAATTAGTTTTCCTGTCCATCTAAATACATATTTAGGAGAAGGGCGGTATAGAAATTTAAACAAATAAATAAATAAATAAATAAATATGTCAACAGTGTTTCTGATCAAGAGAAAATGGCTTGGGCAGAAGAGAAATTGAAAGTCCTAATCTTTGAATAGATATACCAGTTAATAGTTGAGTAAATTTGGTATTAAATTATCCGGAAAACCTAAACATGCGGTACTTGTAGATGTACCTGAAAACTCATTGCCTGAACACTCATCTAGATATTTGGTTTCAGTTAAAACTAATTTGCCAGTATAAAACACAAAATATGGTATAATAAAGCAAGTGACTTCTATCTTTACTATTTTCTTTATCTACCTGAATATTTATTAGGACATTTTTCTGCAATAAATGGAAATGCAGTGTTTCCTAAAACTGAATAGAAATGTTCTTCACACTTATTTTTTCTTATAAAATGTATATGGCTGCCCCGTTTACACTCGGAACGGCTAAAAACAATCAACCAAAAGTTATACAATAAATGCTCTATAAATCATACAAAAATGAAATTAAAATATAATCATCATACAATAATCAAGGCAGCACACAACAGCCTCACCCCACAAACCATATCTACATTAAGCTCATCTAATATCTCAGTATGGCACCCAGAGGAAAAGCTAGGTTTCCACAGCCTTCCGTGAACAATGTGGAATAAACATTTCAGAATCAACAATTTGCTTTTTACCTTAGACCAGCTTCACCCTTTTCCAGGAATTGAAGCTGTGCGGTCACAACATGGTTATCAGTCCAATGGCACCAGGCCAAGCATGCATCTTCTAGAAACACAAACAGCCATGATGGGAACATTTAAGGGCATGAAGCCAAAACTCCAGACTCTTCAATCTCTGGTTTTATAGGCAGCTCTTTTCTTTATTTCTGTGTACATTAAGAGCAGAATTTTCTGTTTACATTACGAAACAGATTCCTTTACATCTAATACCATCCTTTTGCACATTTCTGTTTTATACTGGGGAGTATCTTTTGATCTGTGGGTTATCCCATAACTTCTTTGTAACTAGATCAGTTTTGCGCAATAGTTCATCAGCGTTTCAAGGTGTTGGTTATCACCTTTAAAGCGCTCCATGGCATAGGACCTAGTTATCTTTGAGACCGCCTGCTGCCACCAACGGCCTCCCATCAACCTGTGCGCTCCCATAGAGAGGGCCTCCTCGGGGTGCCATTAGCCAAACAATGCAGGCTGGTGACAACCAGGGGGAGGGCCTTCTCTGTGGGGGCACCTACCCTCTGGAATCAGCTGCCCCCAGAGATAAGGAGAATCCAAGACCTCAGTGCCTTCCGCCGTGCCCTTAAAACTTTCTTTTTCCAGCAAGCCGGGCTGGCCTAACACTTTTTAAATGTTTTAATTGGTTTCTTACTGTTTTTAATTATGGGGCCAAATTTATATATATCTTTTAATGGTATTTTAAATTTGTACTCTATGTTTTTATGTGGCTATACACCGCCCTGAGTCCTTATGGAGAAGGGCAGTATACAAATTCAAAAATAAAATAAATAAATAAATAAATTTCTCAATTAGGGTATTTTTATTGGCTAATGATACCATCCTTTATAACTTGCACTCATTAGCTGATTAGTTTGGCTTTCTTGGGATATGTTCAAATCCAAATTTTACTTGATATAGAGCAGTGTTTCTCAACCTTGGTAGCTTGAAGATGGGTTGACTTCAACTCCCATAATCTCCCAGCCAACAGCGCTGGGATTCTGGGAGTTGAAGTCCACCCATCTTCAAGCTTCCAAGGTTGAGAAACACTGATATCGAGTGTTGTTTTCTGGAATGATGGAAGAACGCATGAAGTGCAGTCTCTTGTTCAAACTGTTATCAAAGTATAAAATATAACAAATATTCAAAGCAAGAGTGCAGCTTTTGCTTTTAAATATGTAACAAAAAGTCTGCTTTGTGGAATATAATTACAATAGCATCAGCTACTGAGAGCAAAGAGAAGATATTTAAAATTATGATAATTATGATAATTCTAATTGGGGCTGCTCTTTTACAATATTAATACTTACAACTGAGGTTAATCTCATTGAAATTGGGGCACTAATTTTGAGTAGGGACTTGTATAATGGTAGGACCACGCTACCATTGGTCAAAGAAATTGTCCATCAATCAGAAAATTTTGAAGAACTGTCCCAGCATATAAAGTTTTTAGATGATACCGGTAGCAACTTATCTTTTGATAATTTCAATGGGAAGCTGCAGGCAGCAATAACTGAAGCATTTTAATTTGCTATGTAACTTCCTAGCAGGACAGATTTTGTATACTGTGTTTCCCTGAAAATAGGACATGTCCCGAAAATAAGGCTAAGCCTGATCTTTGGGCTGGGCCTAAATATATGCCCTCCCCGAAAATAAGCCTCCCTCTCTCTCTCTCACACACACTCACGCACCCATAGGTCCCTCACCCCCCCACCCTCCCAAGGCAGCCACATCCCTGCAAACTCTTGCGTCCCCTGCCCCTTTCGCCACCTATGGCACCGACTGTAGTCCTTGAGCA